TTTGCTCGTCATGCAGGGATGTTATAATATGAATATAAGATGTAACCCACGATGTGGATAACCTAAAGTTTATGTTTTGTAAGGACCGTGGTATAGTTTTCATTGTTGCCCCAATAACTAATTCGAGAGGGGTAACATTTTTTTTATCCCCAATGATTTTTTGCTAGCATATATGCTGTATACAGTCATTTTCTCGTTTATTATCGAAATGATTTATTTTACACAACATACGATCTTTTTACAACACCGCAGGCAGCAGCTATCCCCAAAATGAAGTGTGTGTTGCTAAGTATATTTCTGAGGACCCACCTACCTACAAAAGATCAGCTTTAAAATATAGAAAACATAACATTTATTTTTTATTTTTTTTTTATGTTGAAAATATAGAAAACTCAAAATTGGATAAAAATCATCCCCACTAGGTAGGTACTACAAAAGTGCAAAATACATCAGTACATCACTAATATTTAATCAGGGGTCACATGTTATATTTCCAATTTTAGATTCTGAGCGGAGGGATGAATACCTATGTATTGATTTTACAATGATGAGTTTTTTTTTTGTCTGTCATCACCTAGGGTTTTTAGGATAGTAAAAATTCTTAAATTTTCTTCAACAGTATCGTATTTGATAGGAAAGTGAATCTATTTGGTACTATATAAGGGGTAAAAAGTATAAAATTCCTAATAGTTTTCACTGGTGCCGAGAAAAACAAAAAAAAAATTAAAGAAAAACGGGATTTTTTACACAAATTTAATTTTGGTTTTTGGTGTCTCTCTAAAACAAATGATCGTAGATAGGTACATGAAATATTTACTGAAGTTTTATGTTAGCATTTTCTATACACCATCAATTGTTACAATGATGTTTTAAAAATATTGAAAGTCCAATTAAATTGTTGTGAACGTTTGACAGAGGACGGCCGTAGTAAAGCTGACATTCTCTGCAGAATAGCACAACTGCACAAGCAAAGAAGACTTTCCAGAATAAAAACACTTATTGACCACCTATAGTGTGGCATTACACTTACATGACAACAAAAGTACCTACATTATCCAATTGAAAATCATATTTTATAAGATTTGGACTTTGATGAAGGATCATTATTTCATAGTTATCAACATATAAAAATCAGTCACTGGAATTAAAAATTCGAGTAACTCGACTTGTTTTCCAAACTTTGGGGAAAATTACATTTTGCAATGAACTATATTAAAAGTGGGTAAAGGCACAAAGGCATATTACTATAAGAGCTTCGTGGCAAGAAAAAATCAAGATGGCAGATATTCCATCAAAGTCAGTGCATATGTACCTATATATTTTTTTTGTAAGATTTAACGAGGGTTTTATCAAATAACGTTCATCATTAATTTTTACTAAGCTCTATATAGCTCGAATATAGCTCTTTTATGCTTTACATGTAATTATAATACAGAATAAAAAAAAATATAATAACTCTCGACATTTATATCATTTACTTTACTGCATGCACTATTTTTTTGACATAAATGTTATTTTAGTAACATACGCCCACGAGAATGAAGCCACAAGACAAGACGAAAAAAATCTATATTAAACAGTTTATTATATAAACACTAAACAGCCTATATACATTATATTATGTTATGTGTCTTACAATATTATAAGATAACAATCAAGTGTATAATATAAAACTACACAAGAGTATCTCTGTGTCCCTTAGTCTGAAGACTAAATTCTTGTATAATATATTTAATAATAAATCCATAAAATATTACCTTATCTTGCACGAATTTAGAACAATGCGTCTTCGAGGTCAAATTAACTCCCAACGTTTTCTATTTTCTTCGGTCTTCTCGTGGCGTAATTCCGGCTGTAAATACTAAATTTTAATCGAAATCAAAGTCAATAATGATTGAACTTTTTTTATCGTCCCGGTAATTACGCGTACCTACCTATATAGTGTAAAGTCTAAACCATAAAATATACGGCTGATTGTAAATTGCGTCCGCATTGAACAGATACTAAAAAGAATATAGAAAATTGCGCCGCCCAGCATTTTTTGATTTCTATTATCTATAGGTGAGTACAGTAATTTGGGCTACAGACTCCTTGCTTCTGGAAAAAAGAGATACACAAAGGACCATACCTATTGGCTATTTACATCTCACTTTCCCTGTTTTGGCAACCTGGTATTGCGTCCATAATAAAATAACTATAAAATCGATATTATATAACATTAATTATTATTCTTATAAAACTTGAACAGAATTTTAGGTAGCCAAATGCACTTCAAAAAAACAATTTAATATAAATATAAGTGTATAGGTACATACATAATATTATAATAAAACTATCCTATGTTTATTTTTTAAATAATTATTTACATTTTCAAACAAATCTATTGGATTAAAAAGTATTTTATTATATTAAAATAAACAATAATTAATTTAAAACAGTCAAATATATTATATTATAGTAGGTATACTTCATATACCTACTATAAAAGTATTAATTAAAAATACGAGTATAATATATAGAATGTCAAATTAAATACGAACATAGGAACATAGAACGCTAACACATTTTGTTAATAACACACATTAATCAATCATATAAATTAGCAAATAATAGAATAAATTAAAGTAAATAAAACCAATTTCTACTATGGAACCAAGTTTATATTAATTTAGTTTAGATAACCGACGTTTATCTGTACATATATTTTCAAATACGATCATATTATACATATACGTCACTCACCATTTCCGGAGGTAGAAATAATAATCAAAACAAAGTCTAAGAAATAAAACTTAAGATTTTTTATACATTTGGAAAAATTACTGATGTTAGGTAATGGAAAATGGGAAAAATAAATATATTAAATAAACACACCATTGTAAAACAAATACAACACAGCTATTGACCAGGTTATATTTTTTAGGTAGAAAAAACGTTCTCAAAACGAGAAGCAACAGTACCAATTGAATATTGACACTACCTGTAAAAAATACCTTTTTTAGGGACACAAGTAGTATGCACTGGCGCGCATGTTTGCGCCCACATTAAGTACCCAAGAGACCTTGAATTCAACGTTTCCTATTTTAAACAATGCATTACCTTTATTGATGTTAATCATAATTTCTTAAAAGAAAATTATCTGCATGGATAAAAATATAAAATTGTTGAGTATTGAGCAAATTGGTGGCGTGCTAAAGGAGTGAATGAGGTTGTTAGGTTAACCTCCTTTTTAGCTTATTTTTGTCATATGACATGTATATGATAAGTATATATTTACCACAATAAAACGTGGGTTGACAATATAGTTAAAAATTCAAATCCCCCCCTCTTCAATAAGCTGAGCATTCCACTAATGCGCAATATTACAAAAATTATATAAGTAGTCCTCAAATGCTCAATATTAAAAGATTATATTGCATCAGCATCACTATTATAGTGATATACAAAAATAACTTTTTACTATAAATGCAATAAAAAAAAACTTTTTAGACTGAAATTTCATATTTAATTTTGAAAGTACCTACATATATATATATTTCTATTTCTACTTTTCATTTTAACCAAACTAAAAAACAATTTTCGAAGAGCAGTGAAATCCACTTCCTTGTGATGTCCTATATAATATAGTTACTCTATGTAAGCAATGATAAATTGCCATGATAAAATTAGCTTTGAAAAAAAAATGCCGGGTGTAGTTTACTATACAGAAATTCATAATATACTTTAAATGTGTTTTAGATATAATTTACTTGAGGTCAATACTATGTACAGTATACCTATAGATAGGGTTTGAAATATGAAATAATTCATGTTATTTGTTACATGTTACATTTATTACATAAACGTTATACAAAAACGTGAAACATTGAAATTTTTTTTAACACACAATTTATTTATTTTTTTAACACAATGTTCAGTGTTCTAATGTAAGAATTCAGTAGGTATATTATTATTTAGTAATATTATTCATGTAATATTGTATACCTACTTGTATCACTTAAACATTAAAATATTTAAAAATTTTGAATACCATTTTTAAATGTATAATACGAATTGTTAGGTATATACATTTATAGGTACCATACAATTATGAAGGTGCTTTAAGACAATTATATGTAAATATAAAACTTATTTAAAAATAAAACAAAATGTATTAAAATTCTGAAATATTTCACACATTTCATGAAATATTTAAATTTTTTAAATTTCATAAAACTTTCAAACACTACCTATAAACATGCATATAATTGGGGAAACACGCAGCAAGACAGTCTTGCCAGCAACTCATACATAATTTTATCCGTAATTTATATGAGCCTAAAGAATGTATAAGAATATCAATCAGCATTGGTTAATTGCGTGAATTGAATTAAATATCTTCAGTTATTGGCGATTAATGTTATTATTTTACGAAGTAATACAATTACAACTCAATGTCAATAAATAAGGTATTAAATTGAATCAATATAGTTGAATCACGTTCAGATTAACCATATTAGGAGTTATAGACACAGTGCCTAGGGCCGAAGAGAAAACGCGATGCCTAAGCCGTAGCCGTTAGGACTGATTTTGAGCAGGATTTTGCTCTCAACATACAATAAAATATAGCAGTGAAAAATATATAGACATTCGAGGCATTATGAGTACAATTTTTTTCAATCTCGCTCCTGGAATATTTATATTAGTTAAATTCTGCCTTAACCCGTGTGTATGTGGACCGACTCGTTACTAAAATTCAATAGCAGGGATTGATACAATGTGGGATCATCGCACAATTCCACATAATATTACTTAACCTGCTGCAGTAAGACACGATATCACATCGTTACTCAGGTGTATTACATACAACATATTTATCTACGTATTATAATAATTTGAACTGAAAATTACGCGATTGGCTGCAACGTAGAGTACGAATCGTATAAATGAATAGACTTGAAACACTATGCGAAGTCATCGCGTGGTCTGGCTAATCAGCATTCGGATACACGACACTGCAGTTATCCGAGGCATGTTTTACAGATGTAGCCGCATTTGCCAGTTTCCATGTGCCGTTTTCTGATACCAGTATGATGCCGAGTGGTTTTTAGTGAGCATATGATATTATGTATTATTGTGGATTTGCGACACAGCGACACCTACGCGTGAATAACATTGGTTTTATAAATGATGAGGGTATTAAAAAAATAATAGTTAGGTATTACTATATTATACCTACGTAGTATATACCTATAAAAGGTAAAAATAACTGCTGCAGTGCTGCTGTTATAGTTTTATGGATTCGCATAATGTTCGTATTGACCATAATATTATGTATTTACCTAGTATTATATATGTATACTATAGCTGTCACCCGCGTGCTCCATCCCCTTGGATAGTTGTTTGCAAATTGTGGGGCTGTTTCGGGACTCCACAAATCCTGTCTATCTTGCAACGTTTTTTTTTTTTTTTATATGAAGTGTAATTGAACTGTATATGCAGAGTATAGTTTAAAACTGTTAAAAACTTATCTTAACTTTTCCGTCACCAGGAAAAAAAATTCTGATTGTTCAACTACTTTTGGGTGTAATATGATGTGGAAGCAATATCGTTTTAAGTGTAAATGATATTATATTTTAATGTATAGCCATCTCGACCGGCGTTATCCCGTGAGATTCGCTGAGGTAGATCGCGGACCTCGTGCTGTTTGTACTAGTGGATGACATAAGAGCCAAAATGAGATCAGAAAAAAAAAGTTGTATAGTACGAAAGCGCCAAAATAGTATCGTACGAAAGTGCAAAAATCCTAGATACCTGTATGCCCTGTATACCTACATTTAGAAGTTTAGAACTATATATTATATTTTAACAATTTATTATTGACAATTTTTTATAAGATCGGAAAAATCAAAATTATAATTAATTAATTTCTATTATATTGTATTGACAACTTTTTATAAGATTGACATTTTTAAATAACTAAATATTTATATAAATTATAAAATATTAATTTTGGCCCAAATGATATGCCATTTTTGCACCATTGGTGCTTATGTCATATTATAGCCGTTTGTACGTAAGTGTATAATTTAACTCTAAAGTATCAAAGTTATACCAAGTTTCAGATTCTGAGTGGAACTATGAATGTATTGATTTTACAATGATGTGTGTTTTTTTTTTGTAGACGATTAGTAGTCGAAATAATGCTTCGATTTTCAACTTCAGTATCTTGTTTGATGGGAAAGTGAAACTTGTTGGTACTTTTGGGAGGACAAAGTTTAAAATTCTGAATAGATTCAAAAGCGACGGGAAAAACAAAAATTAAGGAAAAACGGGAATTTTTACGCAAAATCAGTTTTTGAGAAAATCGATTTTGGCTTTTGGTGTAACTTTAAAACAAATGACCGTAAATACATAACATTTTCACTGGTTGTTTATATTTGCATTTTCTATACAAGATAAAATTTTCAAAATATTTTCATTATATATTATTACTATGTTTATTTTTATCTTGGACAGATGGCGCCACTTTTGTATTTTTGACCTCCAGATTTCCTACTCTTCCGTGGATTTTCTTAAAATGTGGACTTGCTTTTATACTTTTATAGTATAGATTATTATACATAATATAGTATATTAAACACTAAATTGGCACGAAACAATGTGGTCCTTAATACTTTGTAAAATGTTATGCAATTTATTTTTTTATTTATTTACTATTATTTTATTTTTTCCACGGTCGTTAAGAAAAATCCAAGATAATAAAGATTAAAGTTACCTATTTATATAAAAATTCCTGACTACGGGATACCTTCAAAAATTATTTCAAATACATACCTATAAAGTCTTATCCTTGGACAGTTCCATACGATGTATTCTGTATAGGTATCAATGTATCAGGTACCTATGTATATCGAATAATATACAGCTATATACCACCTATATAATATTTTATTAATATATTACCTGTATAATATGAAAAAAAGTCGTAACGCCGGAAGACGGCTAATACAATTTTGTATAATTTATTTCAAAATTGTGTGTTTGATACGAAAATAATGTGACTTACAAAGTACAATCGAGGGCTTAGCACATTTTTATAATTACATTTATGCATCCTAAATAAACCATAGCTGTAAGCAGTATAAGCTGTACCTACAAGCCGTCTTCTCTCGGGAAAACTAATACAAACATAAAATACGATGATAAATCTTTGTATCTTGTTTTTAGTGTATACTTAGTACTTACGCGTACCTATCAATATTATAATTTAAAAAAATTAAATTTAAAATGTCTATAAATATAATATAAAACTAATAAAAATATTTTTAGCATAATGCGTATGGACAAATCATATAAATATTTGTTGAACTTTTCAATAGTATCTAGTATCTACGGTTATTCGTTTTTGAATTACAACAAAATAAGAAAACCGTTCCACGATGTGTCGATAGTTTAAGTTAAATATTATCCAATGACGAAAAAAATTGAACTTCAAACTCTTATGAAAAATTAATTTGACTTAAGGATTAAGGATCATTGGGCCCCGGGACACCATGCACTTAGTGGGCCCTCTTTCAACTTAAACTTCAAAATAATTGTATTATTACATATTACTGACTTTATATTATTGTATAATTTTTTACTATATACAAACAATATACAGATCTTATGTCATTTTACGTGGTTTTTTTTAACAATTATGGATCGATGATATGGAATTTCGTTAAAACAAAAAAGACACGTGTTTCTTTATTTTTAACAGGCAATTTTTTTTTAACATTTTCAAAATTTTTGAACACGCAGTTGTACCAATATTAAAATCGACTTTATTTTTTCAAATGGTAACCACTATATTTTTTGATGGATTCCGGTAAAGCTTTTTTTCTGAACATTTTGACAGTTTAATGATCAATTTTGGTTTGCTAGGTTATTAACTATGGTCCTCTAAAGTTTAGTACCTATAATATGCATTAATATAACTTTTAACTGAAATACCTAATTTACAAGAGCTAAATTTTTTTTTTCTTATAACTACCTTTTTATTTACTTAAAAGTTAAAAGTTAAATAGTTAAATCGGTAATCTAAAATGTTCAAAAAAAACAAACAAAATTGTTTGCAAACATAGTTCATATTATTAATTATAGTAATTTTTCATGATATAAAATTGAGAACAATTTTATTTTATAATTATTAATAATAATTTACCTACTATACCTACGTACTTAAATAATTTTTTTTTTTTTAAACTATTGAACTCGTTAAAAACTATATTTTGGGGATAAAGATGGCCCCCCAAAATCAATGTGCCCCGGGACCGTGCCCCCCTTGACCCCTCTTTAATCTGGATTTGTACTTTCCACCTTCCGGTAAACATTTTATTAAAAATCATTGTAAAACCAATACATTCATCCCACATTCCCACCACTCAGAAACTAAAATATTATAGATTTAAACGATATCATTAGTATTCATTACAAATTAAATAAAACCAATATTATATTTTAAATATTGATTACATGTCTTATGATTTATTCGAATAGTAATAAATAATTATATATTTTAGTTTATATAATGTTTGCTATAGAAGCTCGATAAATATATTACTATTTACTATGATAAATATTTGGATGTTAAACTTGTTTGTTCTCCCGAAATGTAAAGAATTTTTTCTTGAAAAATTGTATTTATCTATAAGTACCTAATTATACTTGGCCAGTTGGCTCTTTAGTCTTCATATTTAAATATTATTATTTATAAGTAATAAGTTGTAACAATATAACATAATATTATTTCAGTACTTAATACAATTTTTGAAATATTTTAATCGAAGTCAAAAAGTTCCGATTACAAATCCGTATCTTAGTATAATGAATCATGTTTAATATTAATATTTAATACTGATCAGTGGCACAACAGATTACACACATACGTAGTGGGTGACTGGGAGTTATGCTCAAAGTATTCTATGTACAATGATAAATACTAGATAATAGCAATAAGTAATATTAATAATATTATTTAATTTTTAGTGGACTCCTGAAGGCTAATCCCACAAATTAAACCAGCCCAGTGTGCTACAAGGCTATATAGTCATATATAGTTGCACCTTATAAAATTCGTATATTTCTTCTATATTATATAGTGTTTATAATATTATGTATTATAATGAACAACTATCTACATTTTTATGAATATGAACAAAAACATTATATTTTGAGCTTAAACTAAAAACATTCACAACATCTGGCTATACCATGTTCAAGTATCAACCCTAAAAATGCGCCCTAGTAGGTCGGTATACAGTTTATATTTTTTTTTGTTATCCATATTACATTATATATTATTCAATAATATTGTAACTAAATATGACTTGACAATTTATTGCTGTTAATTTCAAAATCGTATATTATACTGTTATTTACAATGTGCGCAATTTAAAGGTATAGATAACATTTTTGAAAAATTCCAATCTAAATATGATATTGTATTTCTATGTTTTTTTCTTGTTTATTTATCTGTGTATTTATTTAAATATATTCTAAAATATCAAGTCATCAATATTAAATATAGCTGAATAGTTGGGTATACAAAATCAAAGAAAACATCAAATGAGTTTATAAGACGTGTAAACTATTTATAAAGAGTTTGATAAATAATTTAGTATACGATACAATGAGATTTGATGTTAAAAATATGTTCTTTAGGTATAATATTTTTTCTTGTCCGTTTAAAATTATTACATAAGTATAATACGTACTATTATATATGTTACATATGTATAATACGTAGCATTGATTATAATACTAGTCTATATTTATTTTTTAGATTCTGAGTGAAACGATGAATGTATTGATTTTACAATGATGTGTGTTTTTTTATTTTTTAATTTTTAATTTTTTTTGTATCTGTGTACACGATAAGTAGTCGAAATAATGCTTCGATTTTCGTCTTCAGTATCTTGTTCGATTGGAAAGTGAATATCGTTGGTGCATTGGGGAGGTCAAAATTTAAATTTCCCAGTAGTTTTCACAAGCGCCGGGAAAAACAACATAAAAATTAAGGAAAAACGGGAATTTTTACGCAAAATTGATTTTCCAAAAAATCGATTTTGGTTATTGGTGTAACTCTAAAACAAATGAACGTATATACATGAAA